CAAATAAAGCGGAGAGGGGATTGCAGATAAACAGATATAGAGACAGATAATTGGGTCAAGCGAGCGGTAGTGTGTGAATAGTTGTGAATTATAGTGTGTGTTTAAGTTAAAGTGACTGTGGAAATTAAGTGTATTGCACAGTTGTATTGAGAAAGAATAAACTAATTTTATTTAAGAAAGGACTTGTATCACTGAAGTTTTTTTGGAAAGAATTTCTACAGAAAATTAACCAACGACCAGGGACGTAACAAGGTAATTGCCTGGTGGACCAATCCACTCCTGTACAATATTAAGAAGTATAGAGAGATGTATTTTTAAACATTAACCCTATTTCTATTCATAATATCCTTGTGGTGTTCTCAAGGATAAACCTAGCATATAGGTATTCAAATTTTGCAAATATTAAGTTCAAGGAACTAGTATGTAGAAGGAAAAATCTAATGATTTATTACAACTGGTGAAATAAAAGACAAGACATGTTTTTTAACTCGAAAGAAAAATAAAATGAAACATTTCGTTTATACTTGAGGTAAACTGAATACGACAAACCAATCATTCAGCAGAAGGACCATTACAATATGGGAGAGGATGAATTAAAATAAAATAGATTAAACTATATTTAAATTATGAATCATTGTAATGGATTTTTTGAACTGAAATAGAACAGTACACAATCAGCAGGCAAAGAAATATTAAGACAATGATAGAACATCCACAGCAGTTAGACTTGACATTTTCTCCTCTACTGTTGAAGCAAATCTTATCTGAATCTGCCAAAGCTATATCCAACAGTACACATTCTCTGTAGCTGATGAATCAGTAAAGGGGCACTGAAATACAGGAATATCTTGGTCACAAGGTGGTCTTCAATACCCAAGCTAAAACAGGATACAGTATCCCATGAAACAGTAAATGAGTTCTACTGAAAGTAATATCTCAGGCTGTATTTAGCACATGAACTCAACCAAATTTATCCAGTTCCAGGCTTATAACTTTGAAAAATCTTTTTAAATATGCAAACATCAAATATACACTATAGAACAGTAAGGTACACAGTACTTGCATGCAAAATACTTAAAGGTTTGAACAATTCTTCCAGTAAAGCAGCACAAAATATGTCTTCTAAACCAAACTATATATTGTTAAACTTGATAAAAATACATGAACTAATATTAAACTAAAATAAGCTTTTACCTTTGATTTATATTGAACAAAAGCTAAATTCAGTACCAATATTAAATTTTCAAATATTGAAAAATTTCTACATTTTAAAATGAAATCTTAGTTGAATGTTTTCAGATCAAAAGGAACCCGAGAATTATGTATTGCTTTGAAGAAACACATTGAAGTTGTACAAGAAAGACTATCTCATTGTAAGTTGGTTTGAAAATGAAACATTGCTTATTGTTTTTAACTATCCAAATTTTACGCTATATATAATAAATGTTGGTTCAAACTTACAAGTAAATATTTATATCCACCCCACAATTCAGAAATGGTATTCATTCATGATATCTTGCAAAAGTATTTAAAAAAAGAACATTTGTTTACTAAGATCAATGTTCTATACAAACTGATTTTTAGAAACATGGAGATCTAACAGATTCCAAACTACTGAAATTTAAAAAAAAAGCTTATAATTGACTATATTAATCATGCAGCATCATTATTTGTGTTTTAACTATGTTGTAATTGACCAGTTATGTTTTATATGGCCTATAAAATGTTAACTGCTTTTGTTTGTGGTGAATAGAAACATTTGAAATTGTGTTTAATCAGTTTCAGACTGTTGTTATAAAACACACACATTTGTTAAAATTATATGTTAAATTTTTGTTACAATTATGTACATGTTGTGTCTTTTAGTAAAATATTTTCCTTTATATATATTATATATTTTCATTGTAGCCATATGTGTCACTAGGCACAAAGAGGATTAATTAGGCAAGTATATTTTGATTACTTTAATTTTTTTTCTTGTTTGTGTGTGTATGGCAAAACCTTGTACTAAAATTTTAATTTTATATAGGTGAAGATATTAAGTCTTTGTTTGAAGAACAAAATTCTAAACGTTTGGAAATGATTCAGGTTAGTATTAATATTGTTTGCTTTATTCATGTAAAAATGTAACAACTTACTGTGCTGTTTTCATTTACCAAAATTTATTACATAAATTTAGACTAGAGCATTTATTTTTGCTGTATTATTTACTTCTGTTTCAAGTACTTCAGTATTTGAAGTTGTTCTACAGTAGTTTAGAGTTACTGAAATTAAAATACACATTTTAATAATATAAGCTCAAACAAATTAATAGATAACTTTAGATATTTTTTGTAATTTATGAATGGTTCCGATGCAGTCTTACATTCATCTCACACACAGCTATTTTGATGTTGCTAAAACATTGCTAAAAACATTTTCTCGATCAGCTATTGTTCTCTTGATCAGTGTTTAGGTCTTTTATTTAAATACTAAATACCTTTCAGGGCAATGTCTATGTAGCTACTTATATTTATATTCGTGTGAATAAATACATTATCTCTTTATTTGGTGTTGCACACTAGTCTATATACTTCATCAGTTTCGTGCCATTTCTGAACATATACATATCATGTGACTACTCTCCACCAATAGTATTGCACCACCTATACTGGCACAGTTTGCGTCCTCTGCTATTCCTGCTCAGTCCTCACTTTATAGATTAGCACAGCATTGTTTAGACATGTATTTTTTTCGTATATAGCTACCGTTTATGAACCTGATTCTTTGCCATTTCAATTTTCTTTTCAACAGCTTTATTTTACTGTGTTTACATTCACTTGTTTCAACATTTTTGTTTTTTTTACATTTCCTTCTTATTACCGAATTGCACGAGATTGTAGTATGAATTTGCGATCAATGTATCGACTGTGGAATTTCCCTTTACATTTGAAAATCGCTACTGGTACGACTTACCAGGAATTGGGTTTGACTTTATCTGCAGAAGAGATACAGGGAGCTTGATTCATATGTTCAGCCGGCAAGTTCATCTTCTTTTCAACCTGACAATGTTTCTGAGGAAGAATACACTCAATGAGTAGACACTTTAGACTCTATTTTTCCGGCACCTTCTACCAGTTTCCGTGTGTTTAGATAGTTTGTATCTTACATATCATTACTATTAGTAACATCTAATTTGTTGTTCTATTTGAGTCCTTTTTTTCACAATCTTAGGAACCTCATTTACTCCTCGTAATCTACAATTCAGAGTTCTTCCCCACAGTGCCCACTTCGATGATAGTTTCCACTTCAGAGCCCTACCTTTCAGACTAAACTCGGTTCTTTAAGTGTTTTGTTGATGAGTACAAACTCTTGCCCTACATACTCACTCTACAAGTTTTTGTACTCTTCCTTCTGTGGATGACTGGCTCCTGCTCCCTTCCTCCCTTTCACAGTCCAGAGACCACACTCCTATGCTTCTACAGGATGCAGAATGGGTGGGATTCCTGTTGACATTGGGGAAGTCCATTCTTACCCACTCTCAATACCCCATTCATTTGGCGGGATTTCTTTTTCCCAACCTCAGTCAGACCGAGCCTTCTTCTCTTTGTCTTCAGGTTTGGAGTGAGCAGTTCACGTGTCCCTCACATTTTTTTATGGCTCGAGATGTTCTATCTCTTAGAAGATGTTGGCTTCCTTGAAAGCTCTCATTCCTATGGGTTGGGCTAATACAAGTTCCCTTCGTTTGATACTCCTTGATCAGTAGAACTTCTCCTTGTATTCCTGGCTTGGTGGTTAGACAGAGTCCAGACCACAGCAGCGGTGCTGCTTCATTAATATCATCAGGATTTACATCTGTTCACTTACTCATCTTTAAAGGATTGGATTTCTTATCTCAACACCAAGGACCAAGGAGATTGCCAGTCTCTGGTCAATCAAGAAGTCTTCTTTCCATATCACTTTTCTTGAGCCTTTGGTAGTTCATTAAGCTGTGTCCCACTTCCTTCTTCTCCTATGAGGGTGGTGGTTATGGTACATTCAGACATCTCCACAGTGGTCACTTATATCACTGAGTCAAGGGTTACTGATTGCATGTCTCTGTGCTTTCAGATCCTGAATCTCCTTTCTGAGCCCACAGTTACCACGTTGTGGTGTTAGCATGACTTGTTTCTGACTCCCTGAATCTGGTGATGGATTGGGTATCAATTGGGTAACAATTTTCTCCTTACTGAGTGTTCCCTTGTTCCACAGATTCACCACTCTGTTATTCAGGTCCATTCTCTCAGCCCAGGGACTGACTCCACTTGTTGCATCTTTCCTTTCCCAATCCATTAGACCTTCTTCCATGTCCATTTACCATGGACGATAGTAGACCATGGTTTCTGTTCTTCCCAACCTTCCATTCCTCATCTTTCCCTATTCTTCACCCAATTTTTGACAAAGCCTTGTCCACTTTGTCTAGCTATTGGGCAGCCTTGTCAACCTCCTTCTATTTCTTCAGATTATATCTGGTTTTATTTTCCCCTGTCCTTTCCCTCATTTTTCTTTCCTTTGAATTACCTATTGGGATATCAATGTGGTCCTTTATACACTTTCTTGTCCTCCATTTAAACCTTTATCTTCAGGTTCCATCTACCTTCTCTCCCTCAAGACCTTTTTTCTTCTCCTTCTTGCTTGCAGTCGTCATCATTTAGATATTTATGCCATTAACATTACTTGCACCCTTTACCCTCCTATGTCATCCTTTATCCTGACTGATCCTTCTTCCCTAAGACCTATGCTGCCAGTTTAAGTGGTTTGGCTTTGCCAACCATTTCCCACCTGTTTTCCCATTCAAATCCTAATTGGCTTCTTCATTTGATTTGCAATTTAAGGTGATATGTGACATGTACTGTCTCCTTTCAGGGTTCATGTTCCCAACCATTTATTCCCCGGAACCCTTCTATTTCCCGTGATCTCTCACTTGTCATGCTTACTGGTTGGGTTTGTGAAATCATTAGGTGGACGTATTTTGAATTAACCATGGAAGGTCGCCATCTTCACAATGTTTCTTTTCGTCAGATTCGTCACATCATTATGTCCAAGGCTGCTCAACTTCAGTTTCCTTTGGAAGAGTTCATTCAGGCCAGAATATGTACTACTCCCAATACCTTCATCATCTGCATGACCTGGCTATATCTTCCTCTAATAGATTTTTACACACGTCAGTTTGCCTTTGACTGGAGTAAGTCTTATCGCTTCATTTCGTTTATGTTTTTATTTCAGAAACCATAGTTTTAACTGCTGATAATGGGATTCCACTCCATGGTGGATGTTGCCTGGTCAGGTATGCTTTGTCTCAAGCCTGCACTAGCTTAGATCTGCTATATAATGCTCACTGTAGAGATGGGGTGCTTCTGTAAGACCACTGGTCACTTAACAAGTAGTGTGTGTGTGTATATATATATATATATATATATATATATATAACTGCT